ACTAATCCTAATTCATCCATCAGGTATAATATTCTTTTCCCAATGTTTCTCGGATCACCTTTCCCGTTTGAAGAATCTAATTTGGCGTTTAGTGTGAGGTTAAGATCACCGCCACATAACAGAATTCCTTGACTACTTGTTGTTGTTAATTCAAGGATCTGTTTATACAAGGACCATTTGCATCCTGGGGGAATATACATGTTTAAGAGACTCAGAGTAATACCGTCAATCTTGCCAGTTACCATTATATATCTACCCTCCTTATCTTTATACTCTCATATATGTTCATAGTTCAGAGTGCCGTGCACTAAGATCGCCACACCTCTTCGCCTCCCCGAACTGTGAGAATAAAAGACCTGTTTAAAACCAAGCTTGTTCAGTTTTTCATGTTCGCTATCCGACAGATGTGTTTCCTGCATAAAAACAACCTGAGCTTTCTCTCTTTGAAGGTTAGATAGGGCTTTCCACCTTTTTATTGGATTGTGTAGGCCATTAATATTGATTGATACCATTTTCACTGGTCTGCTACTCATCTAAATTACAGTGGGTACGGAAAGTATTCAGACCCCTTTAAATTTTTCACTCTTTGTTTCATTGCAACCATTTTCCAAAAATCAAAAATTTCTACATTTGTGTTTTTTTCTGTCAAGATGGGGTGCTGAGTGTACATTACTGAGAAATAAAATGAACTTTTTTGATTTTTGGAAAATGGCTGCAATGAAACAAAGAGTGAAAAATTTAAAGGGGTCTGAATACTTTCTGTACCCACTGTATAGAACGTATACAACCATTCTAATAGGCTCCCCACACACCCTTGTAAACACTGAACATGGAACACATGAACAAATAACATCAAAAAAAGACAAAAATCAAACTGAGGTAGTTCTAACTTCCAAGGTAGGGTTGGGTGGACCCTAGGAAGCATCGCCTTCAAGGGCAACTTCTTCATCAATCGGTGGAGGAGGCCCTCAAAAGCTAAGGCCTCACTGAGAAGAACACCATCCAAAAACCTTACTTATCTGCTTATTGCACACCATTAAACTGAATAACAGTTTTTTTTAAGTTGTAAGAGAAAGAAACAGCATAGTGGGTAAACCTCAATTTCCCGAAGGCGTAGGTGAGGTCCTCCTGAAGGCTCTGAGTTTTTCTTTGTAACCGGGGTCCCGCCTCTTGTTTGCTGCGCTGCTCCCCGCTCCTCTGCCAACTCTGCTCCAGGTCAGCTGCTTCAGTTGCTCAAACGCTGTTTCTGGTGATGTGATGACCTTCACCGCTTAGCCTCTAGTGGACATATCTGTAGTAGCTTCCACAACTGTGTTGTAGATTTTGGTTTCTTCAGTGTATTTCACCTTTAGCCTAGCTGGAAAGAGAGTCTGAAAGGGGATCTGCTGCTCTTTCAGAATCTTGTGCACATCTGCGTATTCTCTTCGTTTCTTTAGGATGAGAGGTGGGTAATCATGGTCTAAACTTACTTGTTTGCCATTCCAGGTAAATCCTTTTTTCTTCCATGCCTTACGGAGCACAAGTTCTTTGGTCTTAAAGCTGAGGAATTTCACTATAATAGAGCGTGGGGGTGCGTCGTCTGGCGGTGGTGGGCCTAGAGAACGATGCGCCCGTTCAATGCACATGTCAAGCTCATCTTGAGACAGCTCCAACCCGTCGCGCAGCAGCTTCTCCACAAAATCACTCATTGTTGGAGAGTCCCGCTCTGCTGTCTCGAGTATACCGTAGATGCGGACGTTTTCCCTTCTCGTGCGGCTCTCCAAGTCCATTAATTTATCCTCCAATCTTATTTGTAACTTTATTATTTCCATCATGGCGTCCTCTGTGTTCTGAATCCTCTCCTCCACCTTCTCAATCCGTCCTTCAGCCTCCATTCTCGCGCTCATCTTAGACATTTCTTCCTTAATTTCCCCCAAACTCACATTGTTTTCTTGGCGAAAGTCCCTCAATTCCTGAAGTACCACGTCTATGTTGGCCATATCGTATCACCGTGCGGTAGCAGTCCACCAGTGTGCGGCCTCGTGTCGAGCAGTGAATCCGTTAGCAGGGAAGCTAGCGCTATTTTCCCAGGTTTAAGCACCCACTATGTTGCGCCGTCGAAGTGTTAGTTTTGGTGTATTTCATTTACCCCCACACTTATCTACCTCTAAACCCAAATCTGCATTGTCTTAACAGGGTAAAGGTTTAAATTTCATAGGTTTCCTTGGGAGCCCGTTCACAGTGCTGCGGTCACGGTGACATTCGAACCGGAAGTCCTGTTCATTTTCATTATGGCATCTGTGCGTGCGGTGTTGGAGGACAGCATTTTCACCTGCCACTGTCTTATATACAGTCTGCAACACGCATTTTACTGACGGCCATTTCACCGATGCATCGGCAGAGGAAATGGTATCAGAAATCTGAAGCTGAGAAGCTATGCCATCAGCGGTGAGTTGTGCACTGTGAAATGTCTCAAATGATTTATTCACACTTGCGAACTAAAGGCAGGGTAGGTAAGTTTGAGAAACCAGCCAGAAACTGCTGGATTTTGAAAGTATCCAACAGAGAAACTCCTACCCTCTCCCTTCTGGGCTCCTTCCAAAGCCACGCCCCCAAAACACGTGAATGAGCATTGCCGACATCGCAGGAGGACGAGGACAGTGTGACGAGCGGAGAGCAGCGGCTCACATCAGGGGTAAGAAAACATCTATCTATCTTGGAGTTATCTTTGATCAGGACATGTCGTTTAAGTCTCACATTAAGCAAATTTCAAGGACCGCCTTTTTTCACCTACGTAATATTGCGAAAATCAGGAATATCCTGTCTAAAAATGATGCAGAAAAACTAGTCCATGCATTTGTTACTTCTAGGCTGGATTACTGCAATTCCTTATTATCAGGCTGCTCGAAAAAGTCCATTAAGACTCTTCAGCTGATCCAGAATGCTGCAGCACGTGTTCTGACAGGAACCAGGAAAAGAGATCACATTTCTCCTGTTTTAGCTTCTCTGCATTGGCTTCCAGTAAAATCCAGAATAGAATTTAAAATCATTCTTCTTACCTACAAAGCTCTTAATGGTCAGGCACCATCTTATCTTAAAGAGCTCATAGTACCTTACTACCCCACCAGAGCACTGCGCTCCCAGAATGCAGGGTTACTTGTGGTTCCTAGAGTCTCCAAAAGTAGACTTGGAGCCAGAGCGTTCAGCTATCAAGCTCCTCTCCTGTGGAACCAGGTTCCAGTTTGGGTTCAGGAGGCAGACACCATCTCCACATTTAAGAGTAGGCTTAAGACTTTCCTCTTTGATATAGCTTATAGTTAGGGATGGCTAAGGTAGTCCTGAACGAACCTTTATTTATGCTGCTATAGGCCTAGACTGCCAGGGGATTTCCCATGACGCACTGAGCTCCTCTCTCCTCTACTTTCTCTCCCTCTGTATGCAACCTTATCCCATTATTGCATGTTACTAACACAACTTCTCCCCTTTCTGGTAGTCTTGTGCTTTCTCGTCTCTCTCCTCTCTCCTATCACTTCCTGCAGGTTTTCTGGCTCTGGAGCTGTGGAGTCTAGAGCTGTGGCTGCGGGTCACCTGCTGCCCCCGTGTTCCTGCTCGACGCCCTCTACTGCAACGACTATTGTTGCTAGTCTTATTGTTATTATTATTATTATAATCATTAACATTACGATGGTTACCATTAACACTATTACAAATATCTGTACCATTTTTCATTTAGTCTATAGCAACATTACCTTCACTGTCTGTACCTCTGTGTGTATATTGTGTAGGCTGCCTCCCTCCCCTCTCTCTCTCCTTACATCTCTCTCTCTCTCTCTCTCTCTCTCTCTCTCTCTCACCCCAACCGGTCGAGGCAGATGGCCGTCCACCCTGAGCCATGGTTCTGCTCGAGGTTTCTGCCTCTTAAAAGGAAGTTTTTCCTTGCCTCTGTCGCCTAGTGCTTGCTCTTGGTGGGAACTGTTGGGCTTCTGTAAATATCATCACAGAGTATGGTCTAGACCTGCTCTTTTATGAAAAGCGCTGTGAGATAACTGTTGTTGTGATTTGGCGCTATATAAATAAAATTGAATTGAATCTAAATTTATCATTATGAAAATAAACAACTAACCCGGCTGTTAGTACTCACTATCAAGCTAGCATGTTATTATTGGATAGGTTTAAAAAGACCGAGTTTTAATCAGTAACGAGCTGGCTAGCTAACTGTTAGCATCAGGTAGCTGTGCTAAAAGCTGCGGTAACATTGGGCAAAGCTAAAAACAGGCTGATACACATTTTACCATTTCCATCAGTTACACTACACGAACGTGCATTTCGTGTTAGACTCATAACATGTACATTGTTTTGCATGTTCCACGAGCTTCCACGGTGACAGCATTGTTGTCTCTGATGAGGACTGTAACCCAGAGCCAAGCACAAACCGGGACAGGGAGGGCTACGGGGGTCAGAGTAAGAAGAGGCAGGACGGGAGGACGAGGTGCAAGGAGCACATCTTCTAGGACCTGCGTCGAGCTTCACGCTCCAACAACAGCATATGAACAGGTATATCTAGTTGTCAGAGGTTCACCCTGGTTTCGGCCAAGCACCAGTCATTATTTAACACCCAATGGCTGACTCTTTGTCATTCCTTGTTTCAGAAATTCAGATACTGGCACCGGCCTCCAACCCCCTTTTCTGACTCTCTCCTGTTACCCACCCTCCTTTTTTGTTTTGTTTTGTTCTTTAATACTCCCCTGCATTTTTTAAATGTTATTTTGTATATTATATTACTAGAGTTATGTGCTATTTGACATTAAGGCAGTGTGATCTGTTCTGTGTTTGGGGGAATTTGGAGGAAAGAACAGGATGGAGGAATGATTGAGGAGGAGAAAATGGAAATGCTTTTGTTTGTTAAACATAAAATACTAAAAAGTACATACACATACACATTTGGTACAAAGATTTTATCCATATTAGTCCAAATATAAGACTGAGTTGCATTTCTAACAGCAAAGCTGAACTATGTTTACCTGGACCACAGTAATGCTGAGTCGCCCTATGGTGCCCATTGAGCCTCCATACTGCAGCTGCCTGGCTGCCTGGGCATCCAGCTGGACCTGCTGCTGCTGCTGGGTGGGAGTGATCCGCAGGAAGTCCTTGGAAAGCTCACCAATATATACCTGAATAGACATAAACACAGGAATTCAGACTGACAATGCAAAGAGAAAGCATTCACCTGAGAGAGATGGACAACTGGTAAAGCTTTCTATGAGGCCCATGTCTGTAATAAAATACTCATATTTATACAGAATTATTAATATAACATATTATAAAGTATTTTATAGTGATTTATAAGATCAAGAACAATAATCCCACTAATTGCTAGTCACTCACTGACACTTTGGCAAGCATAGTGTATTATAATTCTCATAGTTGGAATACATTACAAGCATTTATAATGCATTATAATCACTATTATAATGCGAGTTAGTTGACAGCAAGAGAAAGCTCAATCCAACACCAGAGACCATCTTGTGACCATCTCCCCACAGTTACCATCTCCCCACTATACAATTACTTGTTATTATGTGATTATATTCCTATGCAAATGCTCCGTACTTGTATAGCGCCTTTCTAGTCTTTTCGACTACTCAAAGCGCTTTTACACTACATCTGCATTCACCAGTCACACACATTCATACACTGAGCCTAAGTGCTCAAACAGAAACTAACATTCACACTCATTCATACACTGGGGCAAATCGGGGACACTTCGACACGCACGCACACACACGCAACAGCCGCGCATTGCGTGGCTCATTGTACAGTAAAATGTTCCCTGTCAGTGTGAAACTATTATATCGGATGACTCTGGGTTAACACTGCTGCATTAATGTGTAGTTTGCATTTTACTGCTGTAGATGTTTGAGCTCATACGTTTGGGTAGTTTAATCTATCTGCATCATATTTAGTAAGATCATGTTTGTAGTGAGTGTAGAACCATGTACCTCTACAAAGCCAACATGAGCTTAGAGAAAACAGCTTGTTTATCCAGTTCTTACTTTATTTTAAGTAGGAGTAATCATTTTCTCAAATCATAAAAGGAACATTCAGTCACAAACATTCAAAATCAACTCATCTGGAGATATGTAGTGTATACATGATTAGTATATGGATATAGTCGCATAAAAGGGAAATACTAAAGCACAGATACCTCAAATTTGTCAGAACATAGCTTTATGGTTTACTATTAAAAACTTTAGAATAACAAACTGGAATTTTGGAGATTTAATTTCAATTTATTTCTCACAGTATTAATATTCTCTTCTAAACTTCAAAACAGAGACAAATTGATGGTCAAATTCAATTTGAAGCCTAAATGTCTCTCTCCGTTGAGGTGATGGGCCTGTCCGTCCATCCATCTTCATCCTCCTTCAGCTCCTCACGGATGGCCGAGCTTCTCACCCTATCTCTGAGGGAGACAACAGCCAGCCGCCTAAGGAAACCCATTTTGGCCACTTGTACCCGCAATCTCATTCTTTCGGTCATGACCCAGCCTTCATGACCATAGGTGAGGTTAGGAACGAAAATTGACCCGTAGATCGAGCGCTTTGCCTTACGGCTCAGCTCTCTTTTCGGCACAACAGTGCGGCAAAGCGAGTGCAATACCACCCCCACTGCTCCGATTCTCCGGCCAATCTCCTGCTCCAGTCTCCCCTCACTCATGAACAAGACCCCGAGGTACTTGAACTCCTTCACTTGGGGTAAGGACTCGTTCCCTACCCGGAGTTGGCATTCCACCGGTTTCCTGCTGAGAACCATGGCCACAGATTTAGAGGTGCTCATCCTCATCCCAACCGCTTCGCACTCTGCTGCAAACCAATCCAGTGAGAGCTGAAGGTCACGGACCGATGATGCTATCAGGACCACATCATCAGCAAAAAGTGACGAGATCCCAAGCCCACCGAACCGCAGCCCCTCCTCGCCACGATTGCGCCTCGATATCCTGTCCATGAATATCACAAACAGGATTGGTGACAAAGCGCAGCCCTGACAAAGGCCAACCCTCACCTGCAAAGAGTCCGATTTACTGCCGAGTACTCGGACACAGGTCTCGCTTTAGTTGTACAGGGATTGGCTAGCCCTGAGAAGGCCCCCCCCTCCCCCCCATACTCCTGCAGCACCTCCCAGTCTCTCCTGGGGGCCCGGTCATACGCCTTCTCCAGATCCACAAAGCACATGTAGACTGGATGGGCATACTCCCAAGCCCACTCCAGGATCCTTGTGAGAGTAAAGAGCTGGTCAGTTGTTCCACAACCGGGACGAAAACTGCATTGTTCCTCTTCGATCTGAGGTTCGACTATCGGCCGAACCCTCCATTTCAGCACCCTGGAGTAGACTTTACCGGGGAGGCTGAGAAGTGTGATACCCCTGAAATTGGCACACACTCTCTGGTCCCCCTTTTTGAACAGGGGAACCACCACCCCAGTCTACCACTCCTTGGGCATTGTACCCAACTTCCACGCAATGTTCAAGAGACATGTCATTAAAGATAGCCCCTCCACGCCCAAAGCTTTTAGCATTTCTGGGCGGATGTCATCAATCCCTGGGGCTTTGACTACCTCAGTGACTTCCTCCAGGGAAATGGACGGGAAACCTCCATCAGCCTCCAGCTCTGCCTCTACTAGAGAGGGCGTGTCAGTCGGATTTACGAGTTCCTCAAAGTGTTCCTTCCACCGCCCAATTACCTCCCCAGTTGAGGTCAACAGGGTCCCATCCTTACTGTACACTGCTTGGACGGTTCCCCGCTTCCCCCTCCTGAGATGGCGGACAGTTCTCCAGAAACACTTTGGTGCTGAACAAAAATCCTTCTCCATGTCTTCTCCGAACTTCTCCGATCTGCCACAGCAGAGGCTGCAGCCATTCGGGCCCGTCGGTACCTTGCAACCGCCTCCAGAGTCCTCCTAGACAACAAATCCCGGAAGGCCTCCTTCTTCAGTTGGACGGCTTCTCTGACCACCGGTGCCCACCACGGTGTTCGAGGGTTACCGGCCCTTGAGGCACCTAAGACCTTGAGACCACAGCCTTCCGCTGCGGCTTCTGCAATAGAGGCTTTGAACATTGCAGAACCCATTCAGGGTCTCCAAGAAGGCAGAGTACTCTAAACTGCTGTTTGGTGCATATGCACAAACAGTCAGAGTTTTCCCCGCCACTACCCTAAGGCGTAGGGAGGCAAACCTCTTGTTCACCGGAGTAAACTCCAACGTAGCGGTGCTCAGCCGGGGACTTGTGAGTATCCCCACACCCGCCTGGCGCCTCACACCTTGAGCAACTCCAGAGAAGAATAGTTGCTTCTTCGGGTTATGCCCGGCCGGGCTCAGAGGCAAACCCAGCCACCAGGCGCTCGCCGACGAGCCCTCCCTCTGGGCCTGGCTCCAGACGGGGGCCCCGGGCTTCCTCCGGGCAGGGTCTCGCCTCCTCTTCCTCGTGATGGGCCTGTCCAGTAGGCAAATAACAGTCCTCTTGTGTTTCACCATCTCTCTCGAGCTCATCTGCTGTCTCCCATGTCTCCCATCTCCCATGTCCATCCTCAAGTCTTTTCCACATCTGAATAGGCCTGGGAAACTGAGAAGTTAAAGGAAATGTTTAAGAAAACAAATGTGTATGAAGCTGTTATATAACAGACCCTAAAGTTAAGCTGAAGAGTTTTCACAATGACCATCCAGGTCAGAATGTAAATGATGTTGCATCACACTGATCATAAGAACACACTTTATTGAGTCCATCAGATCTAAACCTGGCCATATTGGCCACAATGGCTTTCACTTCCACTACAGAGCGCGTTTCATCAATACATTCTTCTTGTTCTACTTCTGGTAAAATTCAGGCAGTGCAGACACTATGTTGAATACGTACCTTAGATGGAGAAGTTGTAATAATATACAGCAGGGGTCTGCAAATAAATTTTGAATTGGAGCAATATTTAACCATTAGATGGTGGATGAGAATATAAGCTATAATATTGGCTTATATCAATAGGTTAATCAGTTAGCTCAGTTGGTAAGGTGCAGGACTTGCAACCCATGGTTTGATCCCACCTCGAGACAGCTTTTTTTTTTTTTTCCTCTTCAGCAAATGGATTCTGCAGCGAATGTTTCTCAGATCGCGGGATGTGCTGCTCCAGATATCTCTCCTCTGCCTGCTGAGATCAGCTGTGTAACTCACGTCGCTATGAAACCCAAACTCACAGACTAATCAGTCAAATAACAAGCTAGCGGGCATTTTTGAGGCACAGTATTTTTTCCCGACTGCTTTGGTTGCTATACTTCATAAAATCCGCGGAAGTGATGTTGCAAGTAGTTCTACCTAACTTTATTGGATGTAAAAATGTCAACACAGAGTGCTTGCTCTGGCCCTTGCTCTGCATGAAGAGAAGGCTGAAGCAGGTAGAGAGAGAGGACGGACTCACGGGTTCATAAGATTTTGTGGGCGAGGAAACATCTTGGCGAGTACCACCATTTGGTCCAAGAGCAGAGGTTGGACGTAGGCCGGTTCCAGTTTAGTAACCGTTTCTACGGTGTGGTATTTGGCCCGCTCCTCCTGCACTGTGATTGGACGGCTGGGTAAAAAGTGACAGTAACGAGCGCAGCGTTTTTCACAAAGTTGAACATTTTTTAAACTCTCGTCGACCGGAAAAAAACGCTCAACGCTGCTGCCATTTTTACCATGTTGTAAAAACGCGGCACTCACATTGCAATGAACTGAAAAAAAGACGCTGGCCTCAGGAAAAAACACTTTGGTGGACACGGGCCCTTGGGATAAAAGTTCAGAATCACTGATCAACATAGTGAGAGGACCTGAAAATAATATAATTTGTAAAGGTGTCAGTGAAACATTTCAGTGGTCACTAGGCTTGTGCCGAATGGCAATTGGATCGGCTATCGTTGAGTGAAGGGATGATAGCCGATCCAATCGCCATTCGGCGGTTGTTTTTTCTTTGTCTGTTATACAGACAAAGAAAAAACAACATGCTAATCAACTTGTGTTAACTGATGTCAAGCTTACACAGATTTGCTAGCCAACTACATGCTACAGGCAGAAAGCAGCAGCTTTGTAAGGTACTAAATATCTGTATAATTCAATGTCAAGCTGAGGAAATGATAAGCTATTTTACACCCAATATGCAGTGAATATTATAAGTTCTGAGACATACCTCCTGATGGTCTGCCACGATACTGCTGCTTCTGCTGCTTGTTCTTTTTGTTTTTTGGCAGTTGGCATCCAGCTTGTTGGTGCAAAGGACAGGAACTGTAACCAATCATATGTAGTAATACAATACCGACTGGATCCGCCCACCTGACAAAAAAATTTACCGCGAGCGAGCAAGCAGGTTAAAGTTTCGCGAGCAGCAGAGCAAGGACTTGTACTCCAGATTCTGCGCATTCTCAAAGCACAGTTTTCTACTCATGTGTCACAATTCCGCACCCAAAAGTAATATCCCATGATCCTCTCGTGAGATTTGGCTGTGACATACCGGCATAGATGTGGTGACTCTACAGTGCCTTGAAAAATATGAATATTCTATATTCATTTTCAATACAACAGGGGAAAACTGACACAACAGTACAGGCTTCAGTTTGTGTTAAAAGTGGTGGGGACATAAGGGTTCAGATTAGTAGGTGTGATGATACACTTGGATCACGAGTAGTGGCGATGCATGAGAACAAGACAAGATTTTTAACACTATTTTGAAGAAATAGAAAAACATGAGCAGGGGGGTCTGGGGGTCCTCCCCCCAAAAATGTTAACATAAAAAAGTTAATTTCCTGCATTCTGGAGACATTTTCTGCTCCAATTTACAGTGGAAATGTCTTTATTTAAATAAAGGGAAACAAAAATTCAGCTGGCAGGTGACAATTCATGAATATAAAAATAGAATATAATGCAGTAATCAGCTGCTTGTTTGTTTTAACTTTTTTTGGACAATGCACATTTGTTTCTTCTATATTTAAATAGCACTGCCTTTTCTGCATTTTCTTATTGTGCACAAACCTTTCTCAAAGCATTTACATTTGTCATCTAAGATATCTTGGTGCAAGCTATTTTTCTGAACAATTTTAACAAATGATTTCAAAAAGTGATGGGGACAAAATCAGCCATTTCAAAATGTGGTAGGGACATGATTCAGGGCTGGCCATGACAGTGCTGGAGCCCTAGGAGAGATTTTAACCACATGCCCAACCCTAAAAAGCCCACCTCTAACCTCATAATTTTAGCATGTAAATAGTGAGCATATAAAAAAAAACAGCCAAGTCAATAATCATTTCGGGCATTCTTTAGCTTTTTCCTTTAAATATGTTTCTCCTGTAGATGAGGTTTTCTAGGCTAATACGAAAATATTAACCTTATTCTTTCAGCTCGGCTTTGTGACAGCATTTCCATATTAAAAGCCGTGGGTACTGAATAAGTGGTCATTCCGACGATATTTTTAATACACTCAAAAGGGGGGCATTAATATTATTATATTCCATCTTGGATTAACTAAAAGTAGTAGAAGCTGCAGGCATGATCACTCAATTATGACTGGAGAAAAATAGTCATGTGACACGCAGTTAGAAGACAATAAAATTGGTCAAAGGTGTAATATTTACAAAATATAGGCCTACACTGCACTAACTCTAAATACAGTGTTCGACATATATATACACTTTACAGCGTTATCTGGTATTACGTTTAGTGGACACGGTGGAAATTTTACATTACGGAGCAACAGTGAACGCACCACTGCAGATGTCACGCACTAACGTTAGTGTCGGTTTCAATCCACATGCAGCACACTTGAAAACTGAATTACAGGTGAGTTTATTAAACAGTGACTTTATGAAATGTACTGCTGATGGAGAAAGTCAACAGAGACACATACAGGGAGAGAGAGACAGGAAGAGGCAGAACAAGCCGGCGTGTTTGCTGTGAGAGATCAGAGGTGCAGGCTTGGTGTGAAGAAGAAGAGGAGCAGATCCAAGTAGTAAATAAACACTAAATTAAGGAGGAAAATTACATGTCAATACACATTCGAAATACACTGCTACTGCCTCCCACTCTCCTACCAGCCGCCACTGCCGTGGCCACAGTTGCACTGTCTTAATGAGAGCTAAATTGTCCAGGGAGCGGCTGTGTCGCGTAGGGGTGTGAAAAATAATTGATGTTTAGATGCATCGCGATGTGGACTTGGACGATTATGAATAGATTCACAAATGTCAAGAATCGATTATCTACAGGTTAAATGATAATGTAATGGTGGCGGAACGAAAAGGGCGGAATTCGGAAATGCAGTGACCACAACAGAGACCTGTGGTACACTGGACAGACAGCTGTTGAATGAGTGACTGCCACTACTAAACTTCACACGTGATCAATAAAATCAATGCGCAACTAACGTTAATGATTTTAACCAGCACACGGTGCAGCACAGTAACGCTCAGCTAGCTTCCTCTCCTTCTTCAAAGGACAGCTACGTGACAGGCGGCAGTAGGTGATGGTGAAAGCAGCAAGGCAGAGGAAAAGATTAGCGCTACGCTTCAGTCTGGCAGTAAATGTACAGTGTAACGTTAGGCCACAGCGTGTCCATTAATTAAAGTCTGTCTGTTGTTTTCCAACTGCTAGATAAGTTAAGGCAGTTAACGCTAACGTTATGTGATGAACCCAGTACCGTTTCTCAAGCCCCATGGTGCTCAATACAATATTACAAAAATCAACTTACAAGACAGGAAACAAACATGTAACTACACTAGTCGAGACAAAAAAAAGGAACAGATATATTAAGGTGGAGTGAACGTGGTTTGGCTGGAGCATTGTAAAGTGCGTAGTTCATCCCCCATCTGACTCTATACTAACAGCAGCCTCAGAGATAAAAAGAGATCAGTAATAATGCTGTAATAATGTAATAATGCTATGCATTGTTAGCTACATAATATGAAGTAACATTAAATATCTGCATTTCATTACTACCTAATTGTTTGGATTGTCGATAAATACTTTGCTTTAAAAGTACCAAGTAGTCACACAGTGAGAAAAATACATCTTTATCCAATTTGTTTTACAATCGCATCATAGCCTCATAATGTTAATGAGGTGCCTAGAAATTCCCACCCTCGAGGTGATGCATCGTGGAATCGAATCGTGAAACCAGCAAAGATGCACACCACTAGTGTCGCGGTTCTGTCTCTCGAAACCGCAACACGAGACCACAGACTTTTGTGCTGCGGTTTTCTGTCTCGGTTTCAGAACCGTTACAACCCTAATGAAGACCAAATTAACTAGTGTTAATTAGTGTTAACAGCTCTGCACACACAATAATTAGTGAGTTTAAACTATATTATGAACTGTAGTAGGGCTGCAGCTAATGATGATTTTAGTACTTTAAGCTTGTATAGACGGCGGTGCCCCCCCCCCCCGAACTCGCCCCTGTATTGCTGTTTTGTCTTTTGACTTCCTTCAAATGGAGAAAATAGAATTTACAAAAAACAAAACTGGATGTTTTTTTGTTTTTTTATTTGGTTTTATCGTTTTCTTTTTTTTTCGATTCAGACAACAAAAACGGAAATACGGTTCTGTTTACTTTCGTTTCTGATATAAAACCATAGGGCGAGTTCTGCGCCAACAAAACGTAGCAAAACGTTTTTCTCCACGGAAAGGTGCTGCCTCGAACACCCTGCTGTGTACGCAAGCGCACTGCATTTTCCTGTCTTTTTAACACGGTCGTGTTTACAGACTTGTCGCAGCTGATTGGGTGAACACCTGAGACACGCCCACCAAACGGGAGAAAACATAACTCTAAACCTGTTGCGGAACGTTGCAGGGAAATATAACGTTGAATTCAAAAATGTAGCAAACCGTTGCAAAACGTTTTGAGATTGAATTCGTCCATAGTCTGTATAAAGTATGAAACAAAGAATGGTTTTCAGTTTCTTCGGTTTTTGGTTTACACGACAAATCAAGTCGTTGTTGGTGAATTTATTCTGCATCAGACCCGGGCACTTGAGACTCGTTAGTTAAATCCAAGATTAAAATCCAAGTTTAACGTTTGGTTAAACACACAGACTCTTAGCTGTTCCAACCTAACATTAGTAGCGGATGTTACCTCGCTAACGGCAGGTGCTGCAGACCGCTGTGTGCAACTGTTTGTTGCTGTTTAATGACTGCAGTCAGTTAACTGTCAGAGATGTTGAAAAACTGCTCAACAGTCCCGCTAGTTCCGCCTAGCTGCCTTCCTGTGATTCTTCCAACAAACTGAATAAAGTCGAAGCCCACCGCGCGACGTTACCTGTCCTCGCTGAGTACTGATGGTGGTCGCCATGTTGTCCCTTCACTGTGTGGCGGATCAGACCGATGAGGCTCTCAAATACTGTTTAATCGCAGACGTTGTTGTTAGCGAATTCAATAACAACCTTCGACCTGTGCTGAATTTCAGTTGACCCGGAAAGGCTTTCTTCTTCTTCGGAATTTTATTGGTGGTTGGCAAACAACGAAATGGTGCATTACCGCCACCACCTGGTATGGAGTGTGGCTCAGAACGACTACTACTTCTGTTAGACCAAACACACAATAACTACAAACCAAACAAACATAGATAAAATATAAAATAAACTCAGATCCTCTCAACCATATTGATTACTCTAAGATAATTAAAAATAATTCCATAGCACTTATCTCTTGAGTTATTTCTAAGTTCTTTCTTAGAAGTGCATTCTTTCCTTTATAAGGTTTGGGATCATTTACTTCATACTTCTGACAGTGTACCATGATGTGTTTGACTGTCACACGTGTATGTGTTATGTTTACCTATTTTGATTAAAGTACTGTTTAATCCTCTGTGCCTAAATCTAAGTCTTGATATAAGTGTCTCTTCACTCCTGTTTCTTTCTGCACATCTCATTTCTCCCACTCTCCTCTGAATTATGTAAAACCACCGTCCTTTCCTCTCTTCCTCCCATTGCTTTTGCCACCTTTTCTTCAACGCTCTTTATTTCTGTCTTACCGATGTTGACTGCCACATCGATGTCTTCTCTTTTTGTGGCCTCCTCTTCAGCCTTATATGATTTTGTTTCCTTTAATGCCAATATGTGCTGGCAACCACAAAAATATGACTGCAATGCCCATCATTTGGATTCTATATAATGTTTGCAGTATTTATATCAAAATGTCTGCTCTGTCTGAGTGACTGTTCTGGTCTTGTTTCCTCTATCCACTGCACCGCTAACACAATTGCTAGCATTTCTCCTGTGTACACTGATACTGCATCAGTAATCCTCTTCCCTATTGTAAGATGAAACTGTGGAACAATAAAAGCTACTCCTATTTTATTAACTAAACTCTCTGATGCATCTGTGTAGACCTGGATGTAACTGTGGTAACTATTAATATATGCCTCTCATATTCCCACCAAAAACCTCAGAACATTTAGTATTTTCCTACATTTGTCCAGTAGTTTCTGGATAAGTACACCCCCTGTGATTCCTTCATGAAATCATAACCCCAAAAACATAAAGTGATTCACTCTTTCCAATTCTTGATCATGTAACTGTAGTTTTGTCTCAGTAGCAATTATTTTCTTTATAAAAAAAACATTGTCTTTATCTACTGAGAATTTAAACCCCATTTATATGACCACTCCTCTACTTTCATAATAGCTTCCTGTAGTTTTTTTACAATAAATTCCAGGTTTCTTCCCCTCTTCCGAATCGCCCCGTCATCCGCAAAAAATGAAAACCCCATCCCATTCTCTATTTCCCTGATTTTTATTATTAATTATTATTATTATTATTTTAACTTGTATTAATCTTCCTTGTAAAAAGTCCTTAATCCAGCTCTATATTCGTCCTTTGATACCTAATTGAGACAGTCTAATTAACAATCCTTCTGTCCACATCATATTGTATGCCTTCTCTATGTCAAAGAAGGGAGCCACTACACGTTCTCCGATTAACGGCCAACCCGCTCTACCTCCTGAGCCACAGCCACCCCTAATCTGTAATTATTCATTCATATTCATTATTTAACAGATCTGATCCATTCCTGGTGCTGACATCTTGGTTTTCTGGAGAGCGCCTTTTAGTTCGGTCTTTGTTAATGGTTTGTTTAGTAGGTCATTTGGGTTTTCTCTTTGCTGTAATAACTCTTCATTCTCCCTTACTGTATCTCTCCCTCTTTTCCCCTCTTCACTCATATTATTGAACTATGAACTGTTACAAAAGTTTTAGCCAGCATCTCTGCTTTCTCCTCATCTCACTGCTGTTGTTTCTCCATCATATCAGACTGGGAAACTCTTTATCGCATTTATTCTTTTTATCATCCCCGAAACTTTACCAATTCCTGTCTCCCTTCCTACTGAGCAACAACATTTTCTCCAATACTCTTTCTTAGCACTTTTTTATGAGTTTCCTAATTTGCTTGTATTTTTTCATATTCAATAAGATACTGAAAACAGTGGTTCCTTTTTAACACTTTAAAAGCTTTATTTTGAAATTTAATCGCTCTTTCACATTCCTTTGTCCACCATGGTATCTTATTTTTACGCTTACCTGCCTTCTTTATTGACTTCTCTGTAGCCTCTAGAACAACTTTACAAAATGAAACAGTTAAATTATCAACATCTTTATTTCTATCAATTTCTCATTTCTTGATCACTAATATTCCTAAATTTATCCCATTACAATCAGAGTCGCAGTCTAACACACTTCTCTGCTCCTCCATTTCAGGAGTTACCTAGGCAAAAAAATAAGGTTTAACCAACCGGTTTTACTTCTGCTACGCATGGCACTACTTCTGCACATGTGCAGTAGAAGTAATGCGGACCCTTACGTATATGTGTATATGTGTCCCGCTTTGGCTGTTAAAAGCAGACGATTGGCTTTCTAGCCGGAGGGGCCGGATAACTGCCATCTTTGCCGTTACGGGCTTTCCCCATAGAGTTGTATTGAGAATGCGATTGAGTGGCATGTCTCCTCTAAATTGTCTGATTGTACCAAGCACCTGGGTTGGTATTTATCAAGCTTCTCAAAGCTCTCATTTTAGTCTTAAGTCAATAAATCAGCACTAAGACTGACACTTAAGATTTAGTCCTACCCTTCACTCAAATTTGGACTATGATGCTTGATAACTTTTAAGCGCAGCTTTGAGCCGAGAATTTATTTACTCTTAAGACAGTTCTTAGCAGTGTTCTTATAAGTAATTCTGAGAATCTTGATAAATACGGGCCCTGGTCCTTAAAACGGACAAAGTTATTATTGTAGGGGATTTTAATATTCATGTGGACGATGAGAATGACAGCTTCAGTACGGCGTTTATCTCTCTGTTAGATTCCATTGGCTTCTCTCAGAGTATTCATGAGCCGACTCACTGTTTTAACCACACCCTCGACCTTGTTCTGGTATATGGTATTGAAATTGAACATTTAATCGTGTTCCCACAGAATCCCTCTTTATCTGACCACTGTTTGATAACTTTTGAGTTTGTATTGCTGAACTATACGCCATTGGGCAAAAAATTCTATACAAGATGTCTGTCTGTGCTGTAGCAAAAATTTAAGGATGCGATTCCATCAGCTCTAAATTCATTATCAGATCACAAAGTAACGGAGGACTCCTATGCTAATTTCAGTCCCTCCAAAATCGATCATCTTGTTGATAGTGCTGCAGGCTCGCTGCAAATGACACTCGACTCTGTAGCCCCTCTAAAGAAAGAAAATAATAAAACAAAGACGGTTAGCTCCATGGTATAATACTGAAACTCGCAAATTAAAGCAAATATCGCGGAAACTTGAAAGGAATTGGCGTTCCACCAAACTGGAAAATTCTCGTTTAATTTGGCAAGATAGTCTTCAAACTTATAGGAAGGTCCTCCGTAATGCCAGAGCAGCGTACTACTTGTCATTAATAGAGGAAAATAGGAACAACCCCACGTTTCTTTTCAGCACTGTAGCCAAGCTGACAGAGTCACAGCTCTATTGAGCCAAGTATTCCCATAGCTCTCAGTAGTTACGATTTCATGAGCTTCTTTAATGATAAAATTCTAGCTATTAGAAACAAAATTCACCAAGACCTGCCCTCAACTGGCACCGACTTATCTCTAAACTCAGGAACCTTAGAAACAGCTGTAGAACCAGATATGTTGAGACTGCTTTGCTTTCCTCAATCTTTACCAACTAACTTCAATAATTTCTTCATCTAAACCATCAACCTGCCTCTTAGACCCCATCCCGACTAGGCTGCTTAAAGATGTTTTACCCTTAGTCAGCACTTCTATACTAGATATGATCAGTCTATCTTTATCAACAGGCTATGTACCACAGTACTTTAAAGTAGCTGTAATTAAACCTTGATCCAGCCCAACCTTGATCCAGATGTTTTAGCCAACTATAGACCTATATCTAACCTTCCATTTCTCTCTAAGATCCTGGAGAAAGCAGCTGCCAGACAGCTATGTGACTTTCTACATAGCAATAGTTTATTTGAGGATTTTCAGTCAGGATTTAGAGCTCATCATAGCACAGAGACAGCACTGGTGAAAATTACTAACGACGTCCTAATTGCTTCAGACAAAGGACTTGTCTCTGTACTGGTTTCATTAGATCTTTATTAGTGCTGCATTTGATACCATTGACCATCAGATTCTATTACAGAGACTGGACCATTTCATTGGCATTAAAGGAACCACTCTAAGCTGGTTTAAGTCCTATTTATCAGATCGATCTACATACAACGTCCAAAAAGCAGCAACTGGTAGTAAACTCAACATACGACAGAACATACCTATACATGTGACATGCGACAATGACCAGACAGGGACTGAACAGAAACACCAAACATTTATACACGGACTAATGAGCAGGGCGGGAGCAACACAGGTGACTGGGATCAGGGTTAACGAGGCAGAGAGACAGAAGGGGAAAATAGAGAGACTGGATGGCAGGCAGATTACTGGAGGTGAGCAGACAGAACACAAGTACTGAACACTAAACATATCAAAGTAAGAAGTAACAGATCAGAATAATACAAATAACAAACTAATCCAGATACCATCATTAGTGGCGATACGCCACTAAGGAACACAGACTGACGCTAAGCTAAAACAGAACTCAGATCAGACATGGGCAAGGCAATACAGAAGTACACAGACCAGGAATAGACATGAACTAAGGTACAGGACTAAGAAATAAAACACTGAACTGGGAACTAAGACACCAAGAAGACAGACGTGAGTGACAGACACAGACAGACATGGGTGAAACCCAAAACACAACAAACTATATGACAGATACTGAACTGATCAAAATTTCAAAACCCCACAGAGAGTTAA